CCCCAAAACCCCAAAACCCCAAAACCCCATGAAGTGGATTATTGAGTTGAAATTGTAATTAATTTTAATTGATGGAAAACATATAACTTAAAGGGCAATCAATTGAGCTACTTTACACAAATATTACTGATATTGGCTCTGGAGCTTACAATAAAGTTTTTAAAGCAGTAGAAATCAAAGCGCCTCATAGAGAAGTTGCTCTTAGAGTGCTTGACTTGGCAGAATGATTTAAAACTGATCAAGGGTAATAATTTTTGACTTTGTTGAGGGAGATCAAGACATTCGAGCTTAAGCATCCAAATATTGTGGAGTTTATCGATTGTTTTATTGATCAAGATAAATTTGTGAGTGTATTTGAGCTCGCTACTTATGGTCTTGATAAGCTCATAGAAAGTTATAAATGTAAGTAAATCTTATTCTTCTTAAAGCTCTGGACTAACATTGTTTTAGAGGATGGGGAATAAATGACCAATATTCAAATTTGCCAAATCATGGTTCAAATTTTAATGGGTCTTGAGTATACTCATAGCAAGGAAACCATTCACAGAGACATCAGTGCGGATAACATTCTATTCTTTGCAGAATAAGGCTAGTTCAAACTAGCTGATTTTGGAGTAGCAACCTTTGGAACAACAGTTAATTATGGAGGTAAAGTAGATTACATGGCTCCAGAAGTCAAGGAGCCAAAGCATTACAATTACAAAGCAGATATTTGGTCTGTAGGAGTTGTTCTATATGAACTATGTACATATAAGAGAAAGTATAAAGATGAGGTGCTATCAGCTTTTCGAACTGCTAATAAACCTACTGAAATAAAGCTGCCAGATGATTACAAAGAGTTATAACCAATTTTTAATAAAATCACGTAGTATAGTCCTCACTATAGACCTACAGCCTCCGAAGTACTCAAATTTTTCTTAGAGATTTTAGGCGATGTAAATTCTTATTAATCATACATGGAGTAAATGAATTAACTTAAAAAAGAGGAGTTGGCGAAATAGGTTAAGAGTGATGTAGTAGAGTTATTGCAGCTTTTAAGCACTCAAATCTCAAAAAATAGCAGTGAATAAGAATAGTTGACATAAGAATTGTAGTAAACTCTTAAAAGCATTGATCAAATAGTTTTGAAGTCTCAAGCTTAATAATGAGTTTTGAGGATGGTTAAATTCCTCTTATTGATACAAAGAGAGTGAAGGGTATATACTTATATAAACTGAAAAAAATTATTCAACAAACAAAGATAAAAATGAGTGACTTTTATTTCTCTTAATTTCTTAATAATGCAATTTACCCTTGATTTTTTATCATCATTTGACTACTCTTAATAAGAAACTGAATCCTTTTTATTGAAACTTTATATGTAGAAATTATTAATCTTAAATTCTATATGATTCACTATTTTAGCTCTATGGGGGTTTTGGGGTTTTGGGG